AGATCCGCCTTTTTTGCTTCCGATACCGATTCCGATACCTAGGGTTTGGTATTGGCCGATACCGATTCCGATCCGATACCAGTGAAGGATAAATTATCGATAAATTTGGATAAAACTAAATTTATGCAGTTTGGAAACCGCAAAACTGATACACAAGTAAAAGTAATGATTAATAATGTTGAAATAGAAAGAGTATATGAAAATAAATTTCTAGGGGTGATTCTTGATTACAAAATATGTTGGAAACCCCACATTAAACATGTGAGACCAAAAGTAGCACGGAGTATTGGAGTAATTGCAAAAGCAAGGCATGTATTGAATGAGAAAGCACTTTATATTCTGTATAGTTAACTTGTATTGCCATATTTAAATTATTGTGTTGAAGTATGGGGCAACAGCTACAAAACCACCCTACAAACACTAAGTACAATACAAAAAAGAGCAATTAGGATAGTAAATAAAGTAGGATATTATGAGCATACCAATTTATTGTTTTTAAAATCTCATACTTTAAAGTTTAATGATCTGGTAGAATTTAAAACGGCACAAATAGTTTATAAAGCAAAAAATAAACAGCTACTTAGAAATATACAACAATTATTCACAGATAGACAGGGGTGTTATAATCTGAGAGGGGCTTTAAATATGAGACAGCAAAATGCACGGACAAAACTCAAAAGTATGTGTATTTCGATTTGTGGGGTGATATCGTGGAATAGATTAAACGGATATATCAAAGAAAGTGTTAATATGTTGCAATTTAAAAGAACGTATAAGAGATTTATTTTTGATAAATACAGAAGTGGGGGGTGAGAGAGAGAATTTTAACGTTGTTGTTAATGCTGCTTGATTTTGTTTCTGTTTGTTTTCTTTATCTTAATAGATAGATAAAGTAGGACGTAATTTGGAGTAGTATTTCTGTATTATTCAAAATGGTATGTCTGATTTATTATGGCTGATTGTGATTTGGTATTGGTAATTACTGAGGGTAGGATTTAATAAGCCTAGGGCTTCTACCTACCCTTTTTTTATTTCGAACAGGTTGAATATATGTTAAAAAAAAATTGTATTTGTTGATTTGTTTTTGTTTATTGGTACTTATTTGTATATTTATTATGTGTTTTTTTTCCTTTTGTATTTTTAATAGTTCGAAAAAAAATAAAAAAAATAAAAATAAAGGTTGAAAACTATATTTCTATCAGAATTACCATGAAATTGCAATTATAACCATTAGATGGCAGCAGATAACTACTGTTAGGCTCATTCAACTCACTAAAACAGTACTTTTCATAGGTTTTGCTTTTGGAATCATAATTAGAAATTACAAAATCACTGTTAAAACATTTAAAATCACATTCAGTCAAAGTTTACCACTATATATAGAGTTACCACTATATATAAAAAGTTTATCACCAGATATATATCGGTTTTGACAATTTTGCCACACTGTGATTACAGATAAACCTGAAAATTATGTATAAATTGTTAAAAAGAGAAGACTTGCAGCAAGTATTTTGTTACCTATCATTTATTTGAAATATCTATATCTGCAGCAAAATGTGTGTGCATGTGTGTGTGTGTGTGTGTGTGTGTGTGTGTGTGTAAGCATGCTTATTGAGTATTAATATAGTTTAACCATTATTAAAATAGTTTATAAAATAGTTTAACCATTATTCTCCATCATGGATGTGTTTTAGTGTCAGCCACACATTTCAGGTTGGCCTAGACCCTAAAGCATAGCACTGTAAAGGCCTTAACCCCCTGGGTCGAATCCCGCACTGGCGTGGTCTGTCTCGTATTTTCTTGACCACGAAAAGAACTAAAAATACTCAATATTTGATCGTACAGATAAGAATAAGGTATCATTTGAAACAGCAAAGGGTCTACTTTTATTTGTGTATAGTCATAACAACAAAACCATGTGCTTTTGTAAAATAAAGAAAATAAACAGGGTGCACTCTGTGCCGTCTCGGTCTCTGTCACCTCTCTTCACAGACACGTAAATAAAACAACCTGAATCTCCGTGAATACTTGCCTCAAAGACATGATAAATATATGTATAGAAAGCTTGAAATGTCTACTTTTAAATCAAGTAAGTCACGTCCAAAACAAATATCCCCTGTTAAAGTAATCCATAAGAAACCAACGCGATGTCCAGTTTTTCCCGTCTCAACTTATTATCTCTAATGCGGTCACGCCCACGAGCCGATCGCGCTTTTCAAATTCTAAACATCCACGTGAGACACACGCTCATGTAAACTCCCACATCACCTCCGCGTAAACAAACAAGTTCATCCCGGCTACTTTTTGTTTCTGGAAGACGACGCGCTGAGAGGAATAACCCAGAATTTACCTCAGAAGAAGAACACAACGTGATGCGTCACGCAGTTGGATCCAGTGGAGAATATCATTCTGATGAGTAACCTAAGATTACTTGCATCTGTTGTTATTGTGTTATTGTGACATAACTTGTACACATTTTACTAGTTAGACTAGTTTTTCTCAAACTATAATTCCTGACTACATGTATGAAATCAAGTGAAACATTTTGAAATATGTGTAATTTCATTGTCTAAATGTCTCACAACGACAGGATGTGTTTAATGTTTTATAACATATAAAACCACAAGATATAAAAGTAGTGTTAACACTATGATATTAGAGTCTATGAATGTTTGGCACAAAGGTGTGTTACTGTTCATGTCTCAGTGTTCAGATCAGTATGTTCAATCATGTGTCCTTGACCTACACTGTGTATATTTTTATTATACGGTGTTGTAAATAAAATACAAATAATAATCAAAAACCCACATTATTTTACTCTCCTCACACTCTTTCTTTCCTGCCTCAGTCACATTCATATTGATGGCCCATTATGGGAGACCCTTTGTCTCTCAGGTGTGAATCACTAAATATCCATGGCCATTGTCACTCCCTCGCATAAGGGCATTCTATCACAAAACATGTTTTACAAATGTTAAATCCATATATTGTTTTCTGTGAACGAGTGAAAATGATAATTTTCACATCATTTTGTAGCAAAAACTCATCTACCACATCCAGTTCTCAAAAGTCTTGTGAACAAATATTCTGTATGTGTTTTATGGCTTTATTTCAGTGACTTAAAAAATATTTTTTCACTAACCACGCATAAACATTGTTTTCTCAAAAACACAAACATGTACTTTCATGCTGCTCACATATCATTGTAGCCCAGTTTGTGCTGAATACAGTGTTATCAGACTTTAGTCATTCATATTTTTTTAAGATACTGAAAAAAACAAATGTCAGGGCATGCCAAAACTTCTTCAGGACCCCAAAACACCCTCAGACCCCAGAGGGTTAAAGTGCTTGAACCCCGGTAATTGCTGCTTGCAGCTATATATATATATATATATATATATATATATATACATACACAGTATATATATATTTTAGATTGCAATGTTAGAATGTAATATGATTCTATCTACTCTATTCTTTGTAGCATAGTCTACATGGTTACTTTCACTATATGTGTTTTCATTGCCTTTAAAGGTGACATATCATGAAAATCTGACTTTTCCAGGTTTTAATTGCTATAATCAGGTCCCCGGTCGATTTCGCTCCCCTAGTGACGTTGCAAAGGGATCTCATTATAATCTTACCGCCCCTTAATCTGTACGTTTCCACCCACGGCGCCGTCATTTTGATTTCGCAAGCGACAACGGTGTACCAGCTCTAATGCCATGGCGCGCAGTGGATGTATTGATTTATTTACTGTAAACTGCTGCTGCCACACAGATCTAAAATAAACATGCAATTTATTTCCCAGCTGTTTACCTTCACAGACATAACCAACTGTTTTTGTAACTTGTGTGTTTTTAAAGTAAACTTGTGTGTGAATGAGAACTTAGTTTAGTACTCGCATGCTGTGACAGCCACTTTCTGTACATGTGCACTCAGAAAACATTTTTTAATCTCCTGATTGAGCAACATCTATCTCAGTTTTAGCATTACCGTTTCCATAGGAGTAAAATGTTATGTATATGTTGAATTATTTAACCAATGTTTAAATCATTACCTGCTTCAAAATGCATGCTGTTAACGAAATCATTGTTGAAACATTTGAAGTTAACCTGCTCTACCAATAAAAACTCTAACACAATTACATAAACAGTGAATAACTGTACAAGGCGAATTAAGGAATAAGTGTATACAAAGCATAAATCTTTATTAAGATTTCAGAATGAGCACTTTGTCATTTGTAATACATATGTTGAGCATGCCATGATTATCATGTTCATCTGATGTATGCTACTGTAATGTATATGAATGTAACTTTTTAATACGCATGGGAAAATCCTGACATCAAACAAATAACCGTTTACAGGCTTAAATTTGATACAACTAAATTTACATTTTCAAGACTATTTAAGGACCTGCGGAAACCCTGATCAGGGTCCAAGCACCAATGGCCCATGTGGATGATACAATTTAAATGTGAGACAATTGAATGCAAATGCGACAACTGAACTGTCTAATGATGAGATTTTTACAATAAAGCCCATCTTTAATCTTCACTAACAGTTTGATGAAACGGGTCACAGCAACACACTGGTGTTGAAAGTCCAGGTACAAGACAATGCAAAGACTTTTTACTGTTCAATTTGGTCACTGAAATGGGGATGGATCTCTCAAAATTTTCAAACCCTAAACAGATTAAAGTTCACCCCCACTGTCTCACAAAATTCTGTGGGAAACTCTTTAGACTATTTGAAGAGTAGATCACATTGTAATCTATTTAAGTTGTATGATGTTACAGTAGTTATGATGGTATTTTGGTGAAGACTGGTTAATTTTTGTATGTGTAAACAGCAAATTTAAAAAAACTGCTTAAACCACTTAAATAACCAGGTTATACTCTTTTCAACTTGAAAAACATCCAGGCTGGCTTATGTCTATGAAGAAAATACTACTACTAATAATAATCCTTATATGTTACAATGTTTTGCCTTTACCTCAGCCATGAGAATCTTCAGGGCGCTCTTGGCCTCTACGATGGTTGTGATAGAATCCCAGCGCTGCTTTATCCGTCCATCATTATCCGCATCCAGGACCTTCTGTTGCAGATCAGCTATCTGAGCACTCCTGAAAGAGTTTAGAGAAATATGTTTGTTTGTTTTTAATTTACAGTTGATAAAAAAAGTCTACAAACCCCTTTTAAAACTGAAGCGCTTTGAAAAAAATATATATATAATAATAATTTCAGATCTTTTCAGCCTTGTCAAAATATCGTTTGACCATCAGTGTGAGGGCATGTCTATTTTTGCACAAACCATTATTATTATTATTATTATTATTTTGAGTTTAACCCCTTCTTTGCTGTGTGCTTTTTTCTGCATTGTGGCTGATTTGTAGACTGAAACACTAATACTTTAATTTACTGTCAATATTCATCAGATATGCAGTAGTAGTAGTAATTTTTATTGCCATGTCAGAATCTAAGGCTATCTTCATGGCAAAAACGGAGTTGGGATAATACAAGAGTTACATAACCAAGCAAAAACAAAAATACAGCAGTTAAAATTACACAAGATTTTTTAAAAATTAACATGCTAAAAAAAAAAAAAAAATATATTTTCTGCAGATATGCATTTTAATTTAGCAGCGTACGAGTACTGAATTGAGTTATTTGGTGTCTCATCACACTTGAATGGACATACACAATGTTATGTCAAAAGCCTTGTTCAGACTGTCAGCCCAAATCCGATTTTTGTGCAAATCCGATTGAATTCTGATCATATTTAGATTTTTACAAATCCGTTTCGAGCAATATTCATAAGTGGTTTGAAATCCTATTCAAATTGAATTTCAATTTCTCTGAGTTTTGAGACCGGTGGAGACAGCAGCACGGAATAAAGCCACGCATGCAGCTTCCTACCTTTCTGCTGCTGCCTCATAAGACATAATACTGTTATCATTTATTATAATCCATCATGACGGCAACATGTCGTCTTGTTGTAAGGCAACATCTGTACTGCAAACTGTCTATATTTTATTTTTAAACATAAATACAACCTTAATATAATTCATATTAAGAGGTTAATAGATGTTTTCTTCAGGAGTAGCCGTGTGAATTGGATGCAGACCTGCGAGTTTGACTGTTCCTGGATGCGATCAACTTTAAATCCTTGATTTCAGACTATGGCTATAACCAGTTTATCACTGTCATATTCATGTCGTATTTACTGTGTCCTGTACATAAAATTAATCTTACCTGGTCTTTGAGAAAATGATATCCAGTGCACACAGATTTACCAGATTACAGAGTGTATTGTTGGATTGTTTACCTGGTGTTTTTCAACAATTTTTAGATTTGAGAACAATACTGTAATATAATTACAGAATCAAAAAGTTGCAATGTAAAGTATGAATCTATTTTACAGTTTTATTATTTTATTGATTATTTTTTAATCAAGCTCAAAATATTGTCTATTTTAGTAAATATAATTTAAAATAAATATAAATTACATTGCAAAACTGTTATGCATGTTACTTACCATCTTTGAAATAAACAGTGTGATTTCATACAAGCCTATGTCAACTTTGGCCATCGGCCACCAAAAAAATACACATCGGGTGACCACTAATTAAATCCATATACAGTGTTAATTTTGACAGCAAACTGAGGTCACACTTTAGTTTGGGGACCAATTCTCACTATGAACTAACTAACCATTAACTAGGACTTTTGCCTCAAACTCCTAAACTGCTGCTTATTAATAGTTAGTAAGGTAGTTGTTAAATTTAGATATTGGGTAGGGTTAAGGATTCTAAAATATGGTCAAGCAGAATAAGGTATTAACCTGTGCTTTATAAATACCAATAAACAGCCAATATGCTAGCAACATGCATACTATAATATGCATAATAGTGAGAATTGGTCCCAAAACTAAAGTGTTACCAATTTTGATTTAGTCAGTCTTCTGGTTAAAATGCCATTTAGTTTTAGTCATTTTTTTAGTCATCCGAATTGTTTTAGTTTTATTCTAGTTTTAGACAGCTAAATATAAGACTTTAGTTGACTAAATCTACAGTAGATTTAGTAGACTAAAAATCTAATGGGTTTAGTTAAATTGAAATGCATTATTTCCCTAATATTTCCAAACTCATATGCTCCTGGAGAAAACAAATATTAACCTGTTAATATGAATGATATTAAGGTTTGAACATGCAATACATATCTTTATCTAAAAAAAAAAATAAAAAAAAAATAAAAAAAAAAAAAAAAAAAAAAAAATAAAAAAAAAATAACAACATGGTCTTCTTTTCAATAAAAGATCAGTGGTTATACAGTATGTGTTCATTATAACAACTTGCATCAACGTTCTTCATTATTTCAAGCAGAAATGTATTTATTTGTAGAAATTCAATTTAGATTAATACAATATTCCCCCAGCTGTGTTTACATTCACTTAAGACACTGTGTTTATGTGAATACTCGCCAAAACAGACAAGGTCTGTGTATTTGTCCATTCAAGTGCAATGAGACACTAAAGAACTCAATTCAGTACTCGTACGCTATCCGAGAGGTTGCTTTCTGTGTGCACTCAGAAAACTGTGCCAAATTCAGTTCTTTCGCATAATCACACTTTTTCAAATGCATTCATGTGTCTATTCATCTCTTTCTTCAGATTTTTAGTTTTGTTTAAGGAGACATGCAGCAAATGTATGCAAAATTATACCCCCAGGTCAATCAGTACGCTACAATTCAAATGTGCACATCTAACCTCCCTACAATGCAGGACATCAGTTCTGATTGGATGTCTTCATAAATACTCCCACCCTAACATTTTTGTATTGTTTTTGTTTGTTGACAAAGTATAATAGATTTTTTGCCATAGTTTTTAATTAGTCTTTTCATCTGTGAAAAAAAAAGTAAAAAATGATTTGTCAATGAAATTAACACAGTGTATGAATTGTAAGGTGCAACATTTCAAGAGTCTTCATGGTAATAATTCTGCCTCGCTCAACCAGAGCGATTATATAAATAAAGTGATAAGAGAAAGTTTGAACCTCAAGTTCAAAGTTTGAATTCGAGAACCTCGGTCAACTTTTGCACTATATTCCAAATCTTCTGAAGCCATTCACTAGTTTACAAGAGGAACAGACAAAAATTGAATTATAGACTTTTATGTACTTTTTGTTTGTCCTTTCCGGGGCTTGACAGCCCCCATTTGCATTCATTGTCATCACTTCATGTAGATTCAGTCTAAAAGTGGTGTGATTCATTCACTGTGGTTCAGTTGTAGTATGACTGACCTGAGCCCCATCTCTGTCTCTAGACTCTCCACTTGCTTGCTGATAGAGGCCTCCAGCTCACCCTGGCCTTCCAACTCTGAAATTGTCAGTGTACGACGCTGAGAAAGAAAACACCAAAAATACAATTCAAATGCATTAAATTGCCATTGATTAGTGACTAAGGAATTCAATCAGGGTCAACAAAAGGGTCAGTATAATTAAAAGGAAGAAAAGGCTGTCAAAGAGAATAATAGACAGTTTGAGTATTAACTCATTTACTCAACATTATGCAGTTTCAAACCCATAAGACTTCTGTTCATCTGTTTTAATATTCTCTTTTTTTTTTGTACATCCATTGAAAGTCTAAGCAATCAACATTTTCAAACATTGGGAAATGCATTAAAACATCATGATGTACTCCATATAAATTGAGTGGTTTAATTTAAGCAGGGCTCTGTGTCCTTATATGGTTGCATTTATCATCTCAGCCAAACAGACAGAGCAGCACAATCTTGGAGCAGGTGTGCTTGCATGCAGACCATTTTAGACCATTACACTACACCATAAACAGCGTTACGAGATCCAATGAGAAGCGCTCAATACAATCCACAGATGTATCAGTGATTTATACAAATTTAAAACCAGATGCAAAAAGGAAAAACAGTGTTGTGAACGATCCAATCAGAAAGATTTTCAATCCAAACATTGCCACTATGGATTTACTGTAGTACTACTAACACTAACTGTAACTGTCATTAATGATCTTCATCTCAACTCAAACTCAGTACCCTCAAATGTGCATTTCTAAGAGACAATATTATATATTGTTGTCATTTTATTAGTATCCCCTCCTCAAATATGTGTGCTTGACAGACAAGAATGGATAAAAACTGCCATTGGATTAAAACTGCCAGTCATGTGAAGTACTTCATTTTTGTTCTGAAGATCTTGTGGGTTTTGTCTTATGGGTCTGCCTTACAAGCACTGTGACACAATCACACAAATGCAGTAAGCAGTTTGCTAGTATTCCATATTGAACGTGTGCCAACCTTACCCGAACTTTGGCTACAGGTCTCTCTCCTGCCTCCATCTGCTGCCGAAGCTGAGAAATCTCCTCTGCTAGCATCTTCCTGTCCTCCAGCAGGTCCTGTAGATGCCGGCGGGCCTCTTCTGTGCTCACAAGCACTTCTACTTCATTCAGCAACCAATTCTTAACCAATCAAAATGACAACAATTGCAACATTTATTCTAAGATGCAAATGCATATACATTTATATTTTTGTCTTGTTTTCTCAAGTTCACAACATGAACTTGCTCTCAACATAGAAAGCTCTTTAAAAATGGTGCCATGATTTTTTTCCCACCAGGTAAACTGCCTAGTAGAAATGTTTTGTTGAGCACAAGCTAAAATTAGAGGGTATAATTAAGGTACAATGAAATCTAAATCACATCACAACTACCATAATTACCTGAGTTGAGCTGACAATAACATCACAAACTAAAAGGTCAAAAGTCAAGATCAGCAATTCTCAAGTATAAACAAGAACCCTGTATAAGAGCTTGCAGCAGGGATTTACTTGTATTTGACTCCAAATCTACTATGGGGCAATTAAATGTAACAACTTGTGTAAAATTTTATCATCTTTTATTGGAAAAATTAAACATTTTATCAAACTTCAATACTTGCCTTAATCATAAAACAACTGAAGATCAAACTACAAAAATCACCTTTCAAGTACAGTAATATATATTACAAGCATATGAGAGTCAAATTGGACTACATGGACATATCAACATCACTCATTTAACAGTTCATCTACTGCCAAAATTACACCAGCAATGTCTGAATCAGAATGAGTAGTTTCTGCATAAAAAAAAATTAAATCTGTCAAAATATAATGTACAACTTTCTGTTTCCATCAGGAACCAATACGTTGAAAGATGTTCACTAACACGGTAAAGTTTTCCAATTGGATTGGCGTTCTTTAGCTTGCTGTTCAAAGTATTTTACTCAGTCCCTGACATTACTATTCAATTGACCTATCGCTAAGCCCCGCCCCCCTTAGTTACTGTTGCTCACTCGGACAGACAACTGGAGTTGCTCATTGTCTTAAAATGACAGCTGTCAGTGAAAACCTTTTTCCGAGGTGTTTCTGATCAATTTGGGACACAGATGGACCTTCAAGTGGGACTTAAATATGCCATGGAGGGATATATAAAAGATATTAAAATAAATATGTAAAAATGCAGATCACAATGCAAACGGGAGAATTATGTTACGGTCGTCACGATCGCACTGACAAAATGCAGGATCAACACCGTTCATATACCGCAGAGTAAGATTAAATTAATTTACATTTAACCAGAATAATATGGAGAGGCACTCTAAGGCCATGTCCACACATACACGGGTATATTATAAACTGAGTTTTTCCTTCTTCTGTTTTTAAAAAAATCTCCGTCCACATGAAAACGCAAACGCATGCTATGAAGCACTGTCGAGAGCATGCCACACCAAGAGGTGGCGATATAATCTCAACCGTAAAGCCATGTTGGCCAATCAGAAGCCTGAAAAAGTCTCCAGTAGGCGGAGATAACAGTGCAGTCGCCGACGTCACAAGCCAAAAACTCCGGTTTCGTTGTCTACACGGTAACACTGCAACCGGAGTTTTTGAAAATCTTCACCCTGGCAGGCGTTTTGAAAAATGTTCGGTTTCAGTGAACTGGTGCTGCGTTTGCGTGTGGACGAACGGCCTAACCACGTAGGAAAAGTTTTAAAAATAACCACGTTCGTGTGGACAAGGCCTAATATAGACCTTCGTTTATGTGTTTTTGACTTTCACTGCACGGTAACGTTATATGACGTGAGAACAGTTCGCTATTTAGGTTTGTAAGTTAGCATGGACTCACTAACTTCACCGTTAGCTAGTTTTAGCCAGAGATACCTTGCTGAAGCACAAGATGACACTAACGTTCTGCTTGAGCAGATGAAAAGTATAACTTAATGAGAGTATGACAACCAGAAAATGAACGTTTTTGTCTTCATTGTGATTGGGGTTGAATACTTAGGGACATTTTGCTCCGTTTGTTGGATTTAGGAAATGGAATAAAATACATTTCATTGCCTATCCTCTCAGGATAACTGGAATTAGTGTTACAAGTACCCTAGGCACATAGTTTTTCCATTTTTGTAGCATAAACACCATCAAACCGATGTGAGCTTCGGATCTTCCAATGTTTCTCTATGGCGCTGAAACCTAAAGATGTCCGAGTTCCGCTCCCCGTGCAACTGATATTCGACTGCCATTGGCTCATCTGCGTTCGAGGGGAGGGGCTTACCAATAGGTCAATTTCAGCGAGTGAAGAACAAATTTATACTCGCATGTGTTAAGGTCTCTGACAGACAGCATGTTGAAGTCACTTAAGACGCTATGACATGTTAGGCTTGTCAAAAATGTTGCATTCATTTGTCACAAATTTATTCACTTTTGAAAGTCAAGTTAATTTTTAACCATTAAAGGACTGGTTTTGGTTTTTTATTTAAACCTATGAAAAAGCAGATCTGTTATAAATAAGTGGGGGGACTTAGCAGATTTTGACTCAATCTTTTATGGCAGATAACGGATTAATTCTATAGTTTTATCTTAACATATAAATAGATTAATAAATACAAATACAAAAACGTACTTTTCTGCATTTGCATACATCTGCTATTCTGGCATTCTATACTATGAACTGTTGGCTCTGACACAAATTGCTTATGGTTCCTCATTTGTAAGTTGCTTTGGATACAAGGATTTGCTAAATAAATGAAATGTAAACCAATGTAAAACAGACAACATATCTAAATATTTTAAATGTTACAATTAAAGAAAGGATATCCATTTTTAGATTTGCTGTAAGATTACATGTAACAGTGTTAATAATGTTAATGAAAAAAAAAATACATCTAATTAAAATTAAAAAATATAGTATCAAACCAATAACCAATATGGTATCAATATACTATGCATCCTTAGCTGGTAAACCAATTAATTAATAAATAAATAAACATAAATCAGAAAATAAATGACAAATAAGCAGGACAACAAACCAAACTTTTTCTAAGTAAGGTACCTTGATTCTACTGCTGACACCCTCTGCTCCACGGTTCTGGACTTCTTTGCGTTTCTCTGCAACTTCACTCCTCTTCTGTAGAGCATCTTTCAGACGCTTGTTAGCAGCAGCAGCCTGTTGATGCACATTTAAGATTACACCATACTTTATAGGGGAACACTGCAAGGATGTGACGAGGATACCCCAAAAGCACCCTCAGTTGAAACTGTATTAATATCATATTGGCTAAACAGATTTGGAAAGAAATCCAGTGTGCATTTGTGTTTGCGTTCTGGACAGCATCAAAGGTTTCTATTTGCAACACATTTTCACACCATTGTGCAACATAGCAAATCACAGACATATTTGTTGATTTCTTGAACACAATGGTGTAGCGTCTGCATAGGATCACTGATGATCGTTTGAGCTTAATTTCTTAGAGACCCTTTTAGCCTTTTTACATTTGCATATAAATTACATGTAAATGGATGCTAAACTTCCAAAGGTTTACCCCACCATCCAGAAGATACTAGACAGAACCCCGTTCTAGTCTCCCCATCTGACTTCAAACACATTCCAATGAGAAGTCGTTCACACTCAGCAACAGGCTCCAAATGCCTCCACACTTACAATACACATAACACACACACATGTAGTGGACAGCACATTCCAGGGCCCAGTTTATGGCAGGGCCACTCTCTGACCACAGTAGTGGGGACAAAGGTTTGCTACATTTTGATTGGATCTTGGTGGACTAACATAAGCAAAACTGTCCAACGCCAGAGGGCAAGACGACGACCTTTGGTACAAAGCCCGGGAAGGACAGGACTTCTCATTGGTCAAAATGCAGAAAGAGATAACGTCCCAAAAGACGTTAAAAGATACACCGTTCTGAGTCTGAGTCCCGAAAGGGAGAGACACTAACAGAAACAACCGGTTCTGAGTCTCAATCCTGTCAAGGAAGGGACTGTAACAGATACACTCGTTCTGAGTCTGAGTACTGCAATGGAAAAGACGTTAACAGACATGCTATTCTGAGTCTCAGTCCTGTCAGGGAAAAAACACTAACAGAGCAAGTTCTGAGTCGGAGTACTGCAATGGAAAAGACGTTAACAGATACATTGTTCTGAGTCTGAGTCCTGTTACCAGGAAGACAGCAACAGAAACAACCCGTTCTGAGTCTCCTGCCTGCAAGGGTGAGACAATAGCAGATCAACCTCCGTTCTGAATCTGAGTCCTGTCAAGGAAAGGACTGCAACAGATCACCAACGTTCTGAAACTCTGGCCCGTGAGGGAAGAGGCAATAACAGATACCAAGTCCTGAGTCTTCAGCTTCAAGGCAGCAACAGATACGACCACATTCTGAGCCTCTAGCCTGCGAAGAAAGAGATAATCTACGTTCAGACTTCATTCAGAGTCTTCATTCAGCGAGACAACAACAGATGCAGCACGTCCTGAGTCTCCATCCTAGAGAGACAAAGCGGATCGACCAAGTTCTGAGTCTCTAGCCCAGAGAGGCAGAAGACACACAGACATCTGCAACAAGGTTAAGCTCCGGCGAGCAAACCTTCACTCCAAGGTACCTTTGTCTGCGTGTTCCAGGCTAAGGACCTTCTGCACCTACTCCAGGGAAGAGGTCTGCGCGGGACTGTTTTTTTAGTCCCGCTCCCGCAAGGTTCTATTCCGCACCCACCCGCTCCCGCTATACAGGCTTGTCAAGAGTCTTGAATTTATTAACTTTGACTTGAATTTATATTAATTATCTTAAGACGTTTAATATTTTATGCAACACAGTAGGAAAAACGTGTCAGAGACAATAAAAATGTTGTACAAAAATTGTATTTCTTATTTGTATTCGTCTTGTCAGGATACAATTCGTTTAACATTGACAACACAATAGCAAAAAAGTGTCGCAGAGAGAAATAAAATAATGTAGGTTGTACAAAAATAGCTTATTAGCTATTTTTTTTTTCGTCTTGTCAAAATACTAAGTTCGTTTGACATTTTTCTGTTAACACAGTAGGAAAAGCGTCGCAGAGAAAAATAAATAAATACGACATCTGTCATTTAAAATTATAGGCTAAGCAAAATATAAACAAAACCGAGTTGAACGTCCTTCAAGGACAGCACATCCATACTTTGCTCCATCCTTATTCTGCTCTGTCACTCATCGACAACCTGCCTGTTCTGTCTGAGGGCCGTATATTTACCAC